CACTAGGCACATCGGCCGTTTGCCCTAAGGTCAGAAGGATTTCCTCATGTATTGAAAGTATAAATTAGCATGAGTCAAGTCTATAGCTTAGAACTGGGGGGAGGGGGGAGGAAGGATTATTGACAGTAAAAGGAGGAGACTGAGGTGTTCTCATCCTTGAAGCCTGATGGTTGCATCTCAGTAAGCTGTAGACCCTTATGCCTTCAGTTCATACCCTGAAGTCATTTCCAGCTCCTTTCTACATAGCAATTCAGTGAAGCATTTCCCCAGAGTGAAGAGTAGCGTGATAGGACAGAAAGAGAACTTGGGCTCACATCTGGGCTTAATCTAGACCCTCCTACTCACCTATCTGGTGACTTTGAGCAAGTCTCATTCTCTCAAATTGGCTAATACCAGAGTTCGGGGTCCAAGCGAGTGTGATAAAGTGCATGTAAAATGGTTGTTTATGGGCTCAGCTCCTGTGAAGCACCATGTTACCCCCCTTAGTCTTGTAAAGCAGAGTTAGGGGTTTGAGAAAGATTGCTTTAGAGTAAGGGAGAGCAATAAATGTGTCTGCAGTGTGCCAGCATGTTGCATGCATGTTTCCAATTCTGTCAGAATCACTGATTCTCATCACACAGGTAGAGCCTGTGTGCTTTTCCTGGCACACAACTCTTCCCAGTAGAAACTGCAGGCTGAAAACAAAATGGATTAAGGATGAAATAATGGAGGCAGATCAGAGGTGGGTTCCTGAAGATGTTCCCTAGCCCTTAAGGCCTGCATTTTGTAGGGCAGCGACACACAATGCCCCGGGCAGGTCCTGACTCCCAAGTCCTAACAGTAGAGTGGATGCGCTGCTGTTTCCTAATCTTATGAACAAATTTCTCCCAGAGAAGTGAAGGCATTCCTGGCAAGGGCCTGGCTTCATATCTTCTGGGCCTGGAGCCCAAGTGAGCTCCCAAAGGAAGGCTGGTCACCTCATGCTGTCATGGCCGGTCCCAGGTCGCCTGAGCTTCCCTCGCCCTCCACCAGAGGTCACCCCTTGTGAGACTTGGCTCTATGCGTGGTCCCTGCTGAGCCTTGGCCTGCTTCCCGGGTTTGTAGCTGTGATTTATTTTTGGCACCTCAGCCTTCCCTCATCAAGTAGCAAAGCCCGAAAGGAAGAACAACAAGATATCCTGCACTGGCCACAGGTGTCTGGTCGGGACACGCTTCAGTCTCTGTTGTATCCCCTTCCCCAAGGGGCTCTGGGACCTTTGGGAACCCTGTTTACTCAAGGGCCTGAGAGGACCTAACGGTAAGTAGCTGGGCCAGTGATGGACAAAAGCCAGGCGGCCAGCAGGGAGATGGAGAGGCTGTGGGGGCAGAGAAGACAGAAACCCTCAATTCCATTAGATCCACTTCTCCATTCCAAAGGCAGATGGGCTACAAGAGGGCAGCATTGCCTCTTGAAGCCCCCTCCAAAGGATTTTATCTACAGAAAGTGTGTCCCTGTGATTCTTTCCTGACTCTGAGTTTGGGGGAGGGATGTTCTGTTCCAGAAAGGACGAAGCTACCTACTCCCATTTGATGACTCCTTTCAAAGGGGTCTTGGGAAGGGTGTGAGGGTCCAGGTGGGGACAGTGGACTGTGGCACGAAGTCGACCCCAAGTTAGGCCTAGAGCAAAGGGCCGGAGCAGGAGAAACCGCCCCCGTGCCATCCTAGGAGAGAGAAATGCAGCTAGAATTAGGTGGACCTGGCTGTGCCAGGGAACGGAGCAGCCCCCAGCTGGGATAGCAGCCTGGGGTAGGTCCAGATATACCCTCTGCCCATAGAGGNTCTGCTTTCCTTTCTAAACGGTCCTGTCCTGCCTTTGCAGGAGCCTCAGGGAACCCAGCCGGCAGACCACCAGCAGCAGCAGTTTGGCCCATGCCACTATGAGATGAAACAATTTTTGGAGTGTGCCCAGAACCAGGGTGACCTGAAGCTTTGTGAGGGTTTCAGCGAGGTGCTGAAACAGTGCAGATTTGCAAATGGTAGGTGATATATCTGTCCATGATTGAACTTTCATATGCTCTATTACTTAATAGTAACAGAGCTTCTGGGCCCTGTAGAACTTAGGGAGTCTGTTCAATAAACCAAACTGACAAGTTAAAGGAGATTTTGTTAAAATTACTCTAAAAATAATCTAACTTATTGTAAGGAGCTGGTCCAGAGGTTTCTAGTTATTATCTTTATCTTTTACCAGTTCTGAATCTGATTCTTCCTTAAGTAGGCAAAGATTGGTATGCCAGATCTTAACGGTGGTTAACTGTATGTGAGTGATCTAGACTTAAGGTTATGAATATAAAATTCCATTTTTACCAAAGTCCAGGAATGCACAAAAAGACTGATAATATTGTCATTCTACACGCCTCATTTGAGAGAGACAAGTTCATTAAATCTCTCAGTTGAGCACTGAGATTTAGGATCTCCAGAAGACTGTTGTCTTCACATAATTAATTTCCTCCTATCAACCTAAGAATTCACCATCTATTAAAATGCTTATTTTCATTTTCCCACCTTCATTTTGGTAGGACATACAGGAGAAGTTAACCCTTTCAGGTAGTTGAACTGTGGAAATGAGAGATCCATGTCCAAGTTTATCAGGATTCTTTGATGTAGGGGCCGGCCAAGTGGCTCAGTTGATTAAGAGCTCTCTCAAGAGTGCGAGCTCTGAGCAACAGCGGTTCGATGCCCGGCCCGAGCTGCCACTGAGCTGTCAACAGGCGGCAGGATGGCTCAGCTATTAAAAAAAAAAAAAAAGAATTCTTTGATGTAGCTGTATCTCATACCAAAGTGCCTGTATTTCTGCTTCAGGACTCTGTCCCTGTCTTCAGCACATGTGCCCTGTCTTTTCTAAGTTGTGACAAGTGCAGAGTTGAAGATTTGTTGGTTGTGAGATGCCTTCAATAACTTGCGAAAGAAACGAATAACCCTTGGCTTTTCCCCTCCTTTCATAATTGATAGGGTTTCTGTTTTGTTAGGAATATACAGCAAGTGCTTCTCTAACGTACTTTTTTTGTTTGCAGGATTAGCCTAATAAAGAAGTTCAAATTGAAGACCTGGAAACGCATCTGTCATGACCAAGTTAATTTAGTATAAAAATATAATTGCTAGTGAAAGTGTAAAGTATAAAACCACTAGTTAAACCTCTCCTCTAGTATAAATAGCTTCCTCGCCACAGAATTGCAATGAACATGGTGTTTGTACAGAAGTTCATTGAGATGGTACTGAGTTTGGGGCTGAGCAAATATTTGTGTGGCCTCCTTATACAAGCTTTTGTGATGTTATTGTTTGTGAATCAATTAGAATAAAGTGATTTTCTTCCAAAATGGTGTCTCGTAAGTTCAAGGTCATAAATTACATATGGTATACACATGCTGAACATACACATTTTGCAGATAAACACAATTGTCTCAACATGTCTTTAAGTTTATCTGGTTTATAGTCTCTGGATGTTAGCATCTACCAGAGCCTCTGGCAGAGTTGTCTGAGGACTTTTGTAAAGAAATAGTTATGTAAACAGTAGCTCACTAGCAAATATGCTGCTCATTAAAAAGGTAACTGGGTACTACAGGCGTTTGGAGCCAGTGTTCAATAAACCAAGCAGTAACTGGAAACTGTTTAAAATATTAATTGTTCTAATCAGGTGAGTGATACATGAAATGGTTCCATGTGGCCCGATCAGCACTACGTGTCACTGTTTTCCTAGAACATCCAATTAGTTGGTCAGAGATGAAAACCATTCTGTTAATACAGGCAATCCCCCAGCCGGTGTTTTCTGCTAAGGTACT